AGGTGCCCCCGTAACACTCCTCCGACCTTCCACATACACCACTTCACAGCAAGCCTGGTCCTCATTGTGCCGGCTCTTGCCTGCGTTGATGACCCTGCCAGGCCAGAGTGACCACATAAGGTTGGACACCAGACCAGGCCCTGGAATAACCCTCATCTTAGACATACACACTCTCTCTGGCCTGCTGGCCAAGCTGAGAAAGGTCATTGCCACCTGGGATCCAGGCCAGAGTGAGGAGGAGCTGGGAGGCAGGGCAAGGCACAGGGAGTTCTGTCTGGGTGTCAGGCCCTACCACCTAGTAGAAAGGCCAGCAATAGCACCTGCCTGCCTCAGGTCCCCATCACTGGCTAAGTGGACATCCCTAACGGTAGTGCAGGGGAGAGGCCTGCTGGGGGGATGAGGTTTTACCTCCTCCCTTGTCAAGACCCCACCTCCCTCCCTGAAACTCAGTCAATTCTCCTAGTGCCTTGCCCACAGCACAGTACCCTGGTAGGCACACCCACCCTTATCCTAAAACCACCCAGTGCAAGTTTCCACGCTTTGGCAACGAGGAAGTGCTCCAGCCCAGATCCGGAAAGAGGAATTGAAATAGGGTAGGAGTGGAGCCCACCTGGACTGTGCTGGAGTCCGGTAACCACCAACTCTTCCACAACAGGAAGCTAAAGAGATGGTGGTGGGGCCACGGGTCCATCAGCCACCACCCTCGGAGACATCAGCACCCCCCTCTTCCGGAGTGCTCCGCTTTCCCAGCACAGGCATTAAAAATACACGTCGCCTGGGAGTAAGCGGGCTGCTCCCACCCGAGGTCCACTTCCTTGCCTGACCAGCGCAAGTCTGCCCGCAGAGGGGCGTTCAAAGGGGACTCTCCCCTTCCCCGGGTGGCCCCTGCCCCCGCCCCAGGGGAAGCCAGCGGCCGCCAGGTGTCGCGGGCTATTTCTGGGTGTGGAGGGGGATGGGAACCATAAGAGGGACAGGGAACTGGGGCGCGGTGGTCGGGAAGTCCGGGACCCAGTATCCCAAGCCACCATCTCCTCTATTAAAAGAGACCCCCGCTCCTTGAAACCCTTCCAACCCTAGCCATTAAACTGCCGGGCCGCGACTGAGAAAAGGTCAACTCATCCTGGGGGGTCCTACACACTCTGGGCTCCAGGAGGGAACAAGGTCCCTGAGGCGGCGCCACTGAGGGTAGTCAACGACCTGGAAGTCCTGAGGAAGGCTGAACCGACTGGAGAAGGGGCTGGGAGGAGGTGCGGCCCGCAGCCCAGAGGATTGCGAGGGATCTGGGAGAAGAGAGCTGCTGGCACCGAGCGCAGCAAGGGGGACCACCTCAGCTCCAGGGATGCGGAGGTGGGGAGGGGGTGGGGGTGGGGCTCCCATCCTAATTACGGGGACCCCAGGGACGCTCACTCGGCGTAGCCCGTACTCCAGGGCAGGCGACGGCCGGTGTCCGGGGGACTTTGCACAGCCCGGCCGGCGTGGTCATCGGCGCGACGCAGCCCCCCCGGGCTCAGCTGCAGAAAGGTCGGTCGGGAGAAGCTCGCTCGAGCCTCTGCTGTCTTTGCGGGTGCCGCGCTCCCGCCCCCAGCCTTTGCCGGAGGGCTCTTGGGCGCTTCTGAAGGGGCGGCAGGTACCGCCGAGGTAGCGTTAGGCTGGTCCGGAGACTTGGGGCGCGGGGGCGGGGCGCCCCCGGAGCTCACCAGGTGCGCCACGGCTGAGCGCACCCGGTTTAGCATGCTGCCTCCCTGCCCCGCCCTCGGCCGTGGCCCCGCCCCCTAGGGCTCGCAGTGGGCGGGGCTGGCTCCCGCCCGCTACTCTCTGCCATTGGCTCCCGGTGGGCAGGGCGGGTTCCTGGCAGAGCTTCCTCCTGCCGTGGGCCACCCCGGAACCGCCTCCGTGGCTCAACGCCTCTTCCCGCCCCGTTCCGCCTACGCCCCGCCTCCGTTTCTCCCGGGAGGGATCAGACTGCTGTTCTGAGAAGGGGACGGAGGGAAGGAAACCGTATTTCAGCCGTGCTCTAGATTAAACACCAAGTAGAACCTCCCCATTGTGACGGGAGGGTGGTGTCTCCTTGCCCTAGGTTCGCTGTGACCTGCCTGCCCGAAGGTTGATGGCGCTGATGACCTCGAGCGAAGCCAGCCGCTTCGGGACTCACTGAGTGTGAGTCACCTGGTGTGACAACACCTCTGGCTGGGGAGGCTGGAGTGAGAGTGAGGGTGTGCGAGCTGGCGCTGGGTGTGGCGTGGTCTGGAGCCGCGATCATGCTGAACTCGGGAGCTGCAAGTTCCTGGGCTCCGTGAAGACCACCGCGATCTGGGAGAGCGGTTGCCGTTCCTACTCCCCTTCCCTTCTCAGGACCCGATTTCGCCCGCAGTTAGACCTCCCCTGACCACGGCAGTACTAGTTAGTAAGGATAACAACAGTAACTACCATTCGGAGGACTTACTACTTAGTAGGCCCTCTGCGAAGTACTTTTCATATATTAGTCCATTTATACTACACACCACCCCTTCAGAATGGGTTTTTACTTTATTTCTTTTTACCGATGATGCTCCTGTCATTTTATATGACTTGCCCTAAGAGGTCACACAGCCAATCTAAAATTCACACCCATGGCAGTCTTCGGACGCCCAAAACCAAGAACCAAGCTGATTTGTCGAGATCAGGGAGGAAGGGGTTAAGAGGGAGGTGGATGGTAGAGAGAAGAGTCGGGGTCTGGGTTCCTCCTCTCCCACTCTCCCTCCTCTTAAGACAGGCTGCGGTTTGGGGATGCTGAACAAGTTCCCTGTCTGCCGCCAGGTGGCGGCAGAGACCAAGCTAAGCTTACTGCCGGGAAGGGGACTGTGAGATGGGAATTGATCACCAGGCCTCCAGAGATGCCTATTACCCCACCCACAGTACAAATGGGCAAAAATGGCCTTAATGCAAGTCAGTGGTAGCACCCAGCTTGTGGTAGGGACTCCGCCTCTAGACTTAGGAGTAAGCGTGCTTCCTGACCTTAAAACTCTCTGTGCGGGGGCTAAACAGTGCCCCCAGAAGGGTGTTTCCTGGCAGCTTCCAAATAAAAACCTCATAATGATCATTCAGTTTTTAAAAACATTTTGTGATTATGCCTGCATTCTGAGCAGAGAAAGCCAGAGAAAAGGAAGTCTCACACACACATGCATCAGTCCAAAGGCACATAGATTGTCACAGGCGGATAAAAAACACGCTGGTGCTGTGGGTATCTCCTTTCTGTTTGAGCAAAACTAGAAGCAATGCTCAGAATAATGGCATAAACAGCAGCAGCAAGCCAGAGACTTAAGAAAAAGTGTAACAGCCTGGCTATTTTTATTATTCAGTGTTTCTGGGGCAGTTTGCTTACCACCTCTCTGTGCCGCCCAGCTCCCTAATCCCTGCTCTTTGCAGTGCCCAGCAGGGTGTGGCTGCAAGTGGGCCACAGAGCCGGGGCCCAGAGACACCTAGTTCCAGCACCAGATGGTCAGCAGGGATGTCAACAGCTCTCTCGGGCTCCGGAACAGCGTGCTGGCTCTCTTCTCCCTGAATTTCTCACCTCCTGTTCTTGGCATCATCACCCCTCATCCTCAGACCGCCCCAGAACCTGGTGAGAAGGCGGCCACCTCTGCTCCTCCCTGAGGCAGCAGAGAATGAAAAGGAGAAAAGTGGGGGGCAGTAGGACAAAACAGGCTTGTGAGATATTCTCCTCTGCTTAGAAATGAGACCCAGGCCCTGGCTGGTGTAGCTCAGTGGACTGAGCTCCAGCCTGCAGGCCTATGGGCCTGGGAACCCAAGGGTGGCCAGTTGGATTCCCTGTCAGGGCACATGCCTGGGTTTCGAGCCAGGTCCCCAGTAGGGGGTATGCTAGAGGCAACCACATATTGATGCTTCTCTTCCTCTTTTTCTCCCTCCCTTCACCTCTCTCTAAAAATATCATTTAAAAAAATGAAAGAAATGAGACTCAGTGCCAGGACCTCAGGTAGGGAGGGGACTGGGCATCCTCAAGACAGGCCCCTGTATCCAGTGGCTCCAAGCTCTGAACTGGGCTCCTTCCCCACCAGTCCCCTCCCCATGACCTCACCCCAAGCCCTCTTAACCTAAGAGGCTTTTTTTTCCCTCTTCTTAAGAGACAAATTCAACACCATGTCCTTCTTCCATTTGTCTAATACTTGCACATGCAAAATTTCAGCGTACGAAAATTATAAAGTTGGGATTATGTTTATGATGAAGAAACTCTGTCACAGAGTCTGGTTCCCAAGTTGGCGTTCACATCCCTCATCCTTGGGGACCAGCCTGTTGCAGCCCTCATTCCTGTCGTCCCTCTACCTTCATCCCTCCCCTGGGCCTTCCCACCCCTGAGGACACCACTCCTAGGGTGGGGATCATCGGCCACTCCCACCTGGATTTTGGCATTTTGACAGCCGTGGCTCACCTCTCAATCTACAGGAGCGTTGTGGAGAATTTGTGCAATGGTGGGAATATTCTCTATCTTTTGTGCCCAGTTCAGTAGTCCCTAGCTACATGTGGCTATTCAGCACTGGAAATGCAGTGAGTGCAAAGAACCTCAATTTTTAAATGTTATTTTATATCTACGTTTTACAAGCACATAACGGTTGGTGGCTACCGTACTAGACCATGCACTTCCAGAATCTTCAAGACTCAAAACCCCTGAAGGTCTGCGCAATCACTCCTCACACTCTGGTCCCCCGCCTTGCGAAGCCCCAGCACCTAGTGACTTTTGAGGGCCTCTCACCTGTTTGAGTGACCCCGGCCCGCAGAGGGATGTTCACCGTTACCCCACCGCTGGAGCCGGAGGGCCTCTGGTCCCTCGCCCGGCCTCTGCCGCCAGGGGCCGCTGTGTCCGGCTGCCACGCCGGACCCAGGGCCGGGCTCGGCATCCCGCGCTGTCCCGAGGAGGCGGCCGCGCCCGCGCGGAGCTGGCGGACAGCGGTGACTGCGCGCTCCCGGGCCTGCGGGCGGGAACCTCGGGGGGACCCCGGCTGCGCTCTGTCGAGCTGGCCGGGCGTGCCCGGAGCTGCCCTCCTGCGCCGAGAGCGACCCGACACGGCCGTGATGCCAGCTGGGCCAGAGCCCCGCCGCCTCGGGGACGCGGCAACTTGGTGAGGGGCACAGGGTTGTGGACCAGACTGCCCCGGAGCTGGCCGCTCCCGCCGAAGGGCTCTCGGAGTGTTGGTCTCGGCCCAGAGGCTAGAACAACCTCAGGCCGGCGGATGGGACCAGTGGCATCGCCGTGGGACAGGTAGGTCCCAGGGGTGGGGGCTCAGGATTTGGAGCGGAGGCGAGGGAAGGTAGGAAAAGGTTAAAGGTTCTTGGAGTTCATATCCTCAGCCCCCTGCCGGTTTGCCGGCTGCTACTCGGACTCGCTGTAGCCTGGATTGGTTGGGGGAAAACAGGTTGGGAAACTGAGTCAGGAGTGTGAAAGCTGGAGAACAAGTCCCCAAAGCTTCTTTCTCCAGCTGGGTCTGAAGGAGGGAACAAAATGCTGAAAAAACAGCCTAAATGCGCCCCCCCCCCCCGCAGGCCTTTCTAGGTTCTGGGGTTCATAGGAGAGTTGGGTTGGAGGGCGTGGGTGCGCGGAGAGAAACGGGATGGGGACTGAAGGGTCCGGATGGGGCGGGGAGAGGCCGAGTCAGGGGACAGGTCCGTCTGCAAGGGCGGGGAGCCGTCTGTTCACAGAGCCACCCATTCCCGGGGCATCAGCGCCGCTTCTGCCCTCCGCCCCTTGGTCTTCTCTGGCTTCTTAACTGCAGGGCCCTACGACACAGAGGTCTGGACTCTCTTCCTGGGCCACATCATCCTACCTGCTTTGGTCCACCTGCCTTTGCAGGCTGAGGGAGGAGAGGTCTTAGGAAAAAGCTGAGGGGCTGTTAGGGCCTCTGATTCAGGGAGCCCAAGGACTCCCATTCCAACCGCGGGAGTGGGGATGGGGTGAGGAGGGCAGAGTCCAGCCTTCTCCATACAAGTCCAGGAAGGAGGTGTTGCGGGGGCAGGAGGTGGATGGAGGCCCTCAGGGGCCTGTCCCAGGTGCCTGTTTGAGCAGCTTCCTGTCAGATTTGGCTCAGGACCCCTGACCTTCAGCTCCCTTCCAAGGCCAGGTAGGTGATAGACAGTGTTGGTTGCCTCCTGCCTTCGGGCCTGCTTCCCTCCTGGGACAGAGAACTCCTTCAGCGGCTCTCTGTGGGCTCAGCACACCCTACATGTTCCCAGAGTCTGCGGGGACCCCTGCAAAGTCCCAGGGCAGAGGAGAGACTGCCCCCACCCTGGCGCCTTGGGGAACAGCCTCAGAACTGGGCTCTTCTTCATTGCTCAGCCCACTCCCTTGCCCTCAGCCGGGACCCCGTTTGTCCCCTGCAGGACAGTGGGCTCCTTCGTCATTTGCGTCTCCCCCAAGAATCTTTCCTACTTGTCTAGGTAGAGTGAGTCTGAGGCCAGTGGATGAACAGAGAGAAGCTGAGAAATCCCCCAAAAGGTGAGTGAGGAGACAGTTGAAGATGGGGAGAAGGCGGGGGGACAGAGACCCAACACCCCACCGGAGGGAGCAGCCAGGTCCTGGCCTTTGGTTTGGCCTCCGGTGTTCCCAGTGCTGTGTTGGCACCTGCAGGAGCCCAGCGATGCCCCAGAGCGGCCCCAGCTGCTTCCCCGGGATTCCCTCCATTTCTAGCCCATCCTCTGGAGGGACCTGGGGGAGCCGACCCGTTGAGGACGCAGGAGAAGGGACGGGGAGGAGGGCAGCGGGCATGGGGCAGACTGCCGACCTCTGTCCTCTGACTTCCTTTAGCCGTGGTTTTATTTCTTCCTTTTTACATTTAAATTGGTTTCAATTGAATTGTTAGGACAGTCCCACCCCTCAAAACCCAAAATGTGCAAGAGTGACAGGGACAAAAATCACTCTCTCTCTCTTCCTTTTCACCTCCCGGCCGGCTGTTTCCCCTTCCGGGTGGCGACCTGTGTTATTAGGGTGTTTTTGTACATTTCCAGAGCTTACACATATTTGAGCAACACATATTATCCCTCCCTGCTACACATCTTATGTTTTTTTCTTCAGTCCTCACCGGAGGATATATTTTTTTTAATTTTTAAGATGACAGTTTTATGAAGATATAATGTACGTACGTACTATATAGTTAATATATTTTAAGTGTACAATGAAATGTTTTATACTATATTTAGAGAATTGTACAACCATCATCGAGGACATGTTTTGAAGTTGATTTCAGAGGGAAAGGAAGGGAGAGAGGGGCAGGGAGAGAGAGAAACATCGACGTGAGAGAAACAAGGACCAGTTGTCTCCTGTATGTGCCCCGATCGGGGATCAAACCTGCAACCCAGGTTTGTGCCCCAATCCAGGATTGAACCCAAAACCTTTTAGTGAACAGGACGATGCCTCGACCAACTGCGCCACCAGCCAGGGCCAGGGCTGCACAGTTCATACAGGCCATCCTGCACTTTGCTTCTTCCCCCACTAGTGGGTTATTGTTAGTGTCTCGGGACATAAAGTGTGTCCTCATTCTATTTTACAAATGCCTGGACGGGACTGCATTTGTACAGATGCTCCCCAATGTATTTAGCCAGTCCTTCCTTGATGGTTCTTTAGGTTGTGTCTGGGCTTCTTGAGTATCAGTTTGTTCATCTGTAAAATGGGTACCAAAAAATTCTACTTTGTGGGACAGCCACGAAGGATTCCAGACCCTGTTCTGAACAGCCTGGGTCAAGTGCTCCAAAAACGGGAGTCAGCGTTACTGTCCCTCCCGTGTCATAGCCGTCCGTGGCACCACGCCTGGCTCATCCTTCAAGACCCCTCCTAACTGTCATCTCCACAAGGCTTCCCAGCAGGATGGTCTGCCTTCTTTGCTGCCTTTCCTGCTAGGAAGGCAGTTGCTACTTTGTACAGTGAGTTTGGGCCAGGCTGAGAGCTGCCTGGGAGCAAAGTGTGCAGTATCCACCTCTGAGCCTCCCAGGGGCCTGGCACAGAGGCGCTGGGGCTGGGCTCTGAGGGGCTCTTGCGTGGGGCCGAGCGAGGTGTGCGCTTCTCTCCACAGGATGCGTGAGAGCGCCGCATGGAACTGGAGCACAGGCGGCTGGCTGCTGGCACTTCACCTCGCCTGGCTGTGCACCCTCCTGGCCTCGGCTTCCTTGCAGTCTCTTACTCCCCCAGGTTTGGGGGAGGTGGTGGGGCCTGGGGAGGGGCTTTCCCAGGATACCTGGGGGGCTGGACACCCCACTTCCCATCCCACAGCAGGCAGATCTCCGAGGCCAAGTCAGATCCCTAGATCCTAGGGGGTTCTGGCTGCTCCTCTTCTTCACCAGGAAAACTCTGCCCCCTCTGCTGTCCCAGCTCTGAGGAGGGGTGGGCAGAGCCATTGCCCGCCTTCCCGTTCACCTCGGAAGGTGATCTGCAAGGAGAGAGCCACTCCCCCGCCCCCGCTGTCCTGCCCAGCCAGCCATGGGGGCTTAAGTCTAGCCTCCTGGCCTAATTCTGTGGTTTTCCCTTTGGGTTGGCTAAAGCCTGTGTAAGCGGATGATCCTTCCCACGCATTGTAAGCCCCGGGGCCCTTGCCCTCCCAGAGGAGGCTGGGAGGTGAGGGCTGGTGTGGGACTTCATCTTTGTTCTGCCCGGGGCCAGGCTCTGACAAAGGGCAAGGGCATGAGTGGCCTCACACTGAAGCAGCAGGAAGATTTCCTCTGTTTTCTCTTCCTCTAAGCTGGGAGGAGGGGATGGAGGAGTGCCGGGGGTGGGGGGCAGGGGGAGCAGGATTGCAGGCCAAGCCTGGCGCCTGATTGTGTGCTGGCCCCTGCAGTCCCGGGGAAGCAGGGCACCTGCGAGGTGACAGCTTCTCATCGCTGCTGCAACCGGAACCGCATTGAGGAGCGCTCCCAGACTGTGAAGTGCTCCTGCTCCTCCGGCCAGGTGGCTGGCACCACCCGGGCAAAGCCCTCCTGCGTGGACGGTGAGTGAGAGGCCGGGACCTGGCAGGGAGGGCCTGATCAGAGAGATAAGGTCTGTCTCGGCCTCGCCATCTGCTGAGGATACAGTTTCCTACCCATCTCAGGGCTTCCCCATCAGGTCTCAGATGATGGGGCAACCTCTGGGGGAGGGTGGACGTGACCATCGCATTTCATAGAGAAAAGCAACACCCCGGCCGCCCTCTGGGGGGCGCCCACTGCCCGGCACGCATACAGATGTGTCCCTGCACCCCGATCCCCTCACACCTCGTGTCCGACTCACTCCTGGAGACAGACGTGGCCTTCTGCCCTCACCGTCCTCCCCAGCCCTCCTCCACGGGCTCTCCTCTCATTCTCACGCCAGCCTCTGCCTCCGTCACACGAGCACATGTGAGTGCATCTCTGGCCTGTGCATCTCTTCACTCCAGTCCCTTTCCCATGCCCCACCCCCCTCATTTTCTCACATTCACGTGGTGGCGTTGCCAACATGCCCGCCTCCTTGTGCACCGCTGCTCCGTGGACCCCTGCAAACGGGTCACACCCGTACTCGCAACTCCCAGGGTGTGCTGGAACGGGGCATCTCTGCTAGTGGCATGGTGACTCATCTCGAGGGTTGCTGTCCCCTGCCTTGGCCCTGTGCTGTCTTTGGTGACATGCAGCCCCGGTGAGATGCAGCTGAGATGCAGCCGTCAGTGGGATTGAGGTTGACACGGCTGTGTGCCCGGGCCTTTCTGGGCAGCCCGAGGAGGGGAAAGACAGGGAACTGCAGGGCTCTGAGAAGCCAGGGATGTGCAGAAGCCGGCACTTCATTCGGCACGGACCTCTCCCCTGCGCCCCGGACTGCTCACGGTGCTGCCAGAGAGCTCAGCGCGGCCCTCCTTGTGCTCTGCTCCCACAGCCTCCATCGTCCTGCAGAGGTGGTGGTGCCAGATGGAGCCCTGCCTTCCCGGGGAGGAGTGCAAAGTGCTCCCGGACCTGTCGGGGTGGAGCTGCAGCAGTGGACACAGAGTCAAAACCACCAAGGTACCCAGGGGTGGCCGCTTCACGCCCTCCTGCTCCCCTTCACCTGGGATGGAAAAGGGTGCGCAGGAGCCCTGGGCAATGTCCGTGTCCTGAGGTGAGGTCAGGAACCGCGTGGGTGCATCTCTGGACAGGCCCCCAGGTCTGTCTTAACTCTGGGGACTGGAGTCAGGGCCTCTGGATTTGAAATGCATGTGTCTTTCCGGACACATTTCCTGGAGCTTCATGCGTCTGAGTTTCCTCCCCTGCTAGGAGTGAGTTTGCCTCCCGGGAAATGTCAGGCCGGTAAGAACAAAGTAGAAAACTGAGACAATTATCTAGAGAATTCAGAGGCGACTCTAGTAGCCACTCTGCCCGCCCACCCCTGACACAGGCCCCGCCCCGCACTCCCAGGATTCCCAGCTCCCTGCAGTTCAACTCTCTTCCTCTAGCCAGACTGCCAGGTCTGGGAGATTTGCTGCCTGGCCCTTAGAACGGGGGGTAATTAAAATTTTATCAAATGTGTCAGCAAGTCCACGTGTGTCACAGATAATTAGTTGCATAGCTCTGTCATCGCCACTTGTACAAATGGTGTCACCGCGGGACAAGCCAGAGCTCTGCTCCTGCCTTCCCTGGCCGCCACTATACACGGCAAACAAGCAAACAAGCAGACAAACAAAAAGAAAGAAAGGCCAGCTTCGGTTCTGAGGAGAGCTCAGGACAGAGAGAGGGAGCTACAGCAAGAAAAAGAGAGGCTGGATATACAGAAGAGCTTCCTGTCTGCAGGCAGGCGGGAAAGACTGCTGTTCTGGGTGTCTTTAAGACCAGAAGGGAGGGAGACCCCCTCCACTGAGCTGGTGACATTTGTCACTGTTTTATAGGTTTGGATTTGTAGGCTTTGGATCCCTGTGCTTGCAATTTTGGTAACTAGCCCAAAGCACCTTGTGGTGAGACAAAGCCTGATTTGTGTTTGGTGGGTCACCTGGCCACGCTCTCCCAGGCTGGACTTCACAGGGGGAAGGGATGATGGCAATGACCTCTACATGACCTGCATCTCCTGGGGGTATTCGTTTCCCTTCTTTAACCTCCCCTTCCCCCTGCCCCTGCTTGCTCTCTAGGTGACTCGATAGGTCTTGGGGTCACGGCATGCGGGCAGGACAGCTTGACTGGTCCGCTGACTGAAGCATGGTGTCCAGTTATCGGCCAGCAAATGTGGAGGTTCACCTGCCTGGACACACGCCCCAAGCCATACATAGCGTCACTTTCTCCAGGGGCATTTCGGTGAAGCTGCTGAGCGGGTGTGGACACATCTCCGGCCACCTACCCAGCGTCGTGCTGGGCCCTCCCTGCAGACACAGATGAAAGTCCAGATACAAGGCCTGCCTTCAAGGGACGACCGGTCAAGTTGGAGAGTTGACGGATGACAATCTAGATAATTTAGACTAAAGCGTGTGGTACCAGACTGTGGCTTCTGGGTCACGGCCTGTGGGCATGTGTGGGTTTGGGGATGAAATTCCCACAGCTCTTCAACCACCCCCGGCCACAGGGCACAGAGGCAAGAGGTCGCATTCACCACCCACCACTCCCCTCCTTCACGTAAGTCCAAATCCCCAGCAAGCCACTAACACGCTGAAGGAAGACCCTCGCCCCGGTGCCAGACGGGCTGCACATCCCTTGGCTCGACTTGGGGAAGGAAGGCGGAGATGGAGCCAAACTCGCCAGTGAAGCTTCTGCAGAGGCGTCCCCTGGTTTTTGGGCTGTTCATTGGGTAGAGGATGGACAGGACCTCCACGTGGCCGCCATCTAAACACCTTGAGTTTTCATTTGCTTATTTGAACAGAGGAAGACAAGTCCCAGAGCGGGGAGGAGGCTCACCCAAGGCCTCACAGCTTGGACTGCCCTCTCTCTAAGACTGCTGACCTTCCCACTTAGCCTGGAAGTGGGAATTTAACCCCGGCCTTCCTCGTTGCTTTTGTCTCAAGAACAGGAACCTTCAAAGAACCGGCTGCACAGCTGCAATTTTTTTTCACGGGGGAGCCCAGGGCAGGAACTTTCACCGAGGTCCCTGCTCTCCTATCTGAAGTAAAACTGAATTCCTGCACACCGGGATGTGGGGCCCCTGGATCTCCACTGTGCCCTCAGCTCCAGACATTGCAGACAGGGCCCGTGACAGCCCAGAGGTCACTCAGCCAGGATACTCTGACAGCCAGGATACTCTGAGCTGGCAGCCTCACTGCCCACTCTGACCCATCCCTTCCAGAATCCTTTGGCTTCTGGAAGCCAAACTCTCGGAGGCTCTGGCTCTAACAGAGGGTCTGGGTAGGGTCCAGGCTGGTCAGCCCTTCAAAGGTCCTGCTGGGCTGGATGGAACAGGCTCTGTCCAGGGCTGAGGGTTGGCTTGGTCAGGCTGCCACACAGGCTCCAGGGACCAGAGACATGGGCTGCTCGAGTATCCCACCAGTAAGAGAACTGAAGCCTCGGCGACAGCTGGGATCAGCTGGGATGGCCTGGACTGCCGGGCAGGGCGGGGATGTGAGGGAGGGGCGTCAGGGAGACCAGCCTGGACTGTGCTGAATTCTGACCCTCAGACCGAGGGCTGGGGCTGAGCCTCTCTCTCTCCCCTCCCCGTCCCACCCCTACAGTAGAACCAAGACTCTTCACCGCCCCCCAGGGCGGTGTTTGTTTTGTTTTGTTTGGGGTAATGGGGTGAACAGTGATGGCAGCTTCTCACTAGACTGTAACTAGTTGTCAGAACTAGAATTCTCACAACTGGGAATCTTGGCACACAGTGGGGTCACAGGGCCAGGTGGTCAAGGAGTAGGTCAAAGGTTCTCATCGCCTTCAAGGCTGGGAGTGGGTTAAGGGGTTGGCACACTTTCTAGAAAGGGCCAGAGGGTAAACATTTTAGGTTTCGCCTGACACATACAGTCTCTTTGGTGTATTTTTCTTCGGTGTTGTTTGTTTTTGTTTTGTTTTTTTAAACCTTTTAAAAATGTGAAAGCTATTCTTAGCTCGAGGGCTACACCGAAGCAGGCTCCATGCTGTTTTGGGAAGGTAGCCAACCCCAGCGAACCTCTGAAGGCCTCCATCCCTCACATCTGCAGCTTAGGGCTGCTTCCCAGCCTCCTGGTCCGCCTTCTCTGCAGTGGGAACATGAGCGCGAGGTCTGAGTCAGGTTTTGTTTTTCTTCTAATGCTCCTTGAGAGATCAGTGAGTGAATTATTTAGGCTACTAATGAGGCAGCTTTAGCAGAGTCAGGCAATAAGAGCCTGTCCTCCTGGAGGCCAGGACATGGGCTTCTCCATTGCCTCCCCGCCCCTGGAGCCTGGGTCTGGGAGGGAGGGAGAGGGCTCCAGCCCCCTGCACATCTGCTGTGTCCACAGGCTGCTGGGCTATGAGCTGGGGGAGTCCGAGGTTGGGGATATTGATGTACAAATTCCACCCCCTTGTGCTGCTGACCACCATCAGCCCCTGCCTTGGCCGAAGTCCAAGCTCCCCAGCCTTCCTTGGTCTTTTCTCATCCCTGCTTACAGAGACCTCTTTCCTCTGGCAAATGCTGAAATTTGCTAATTCATTTTTTAAAAGACTTTATTTATTTATTGAGAGAGAGGGGAAGAGAAGGAGAAAGAGAGGGAGAGAAACATTACTGTGTGGTTACCTTTTGCATGCCCCATACTGGGGGCCTGGCCCACAACCTAGGCATATGCTTTGACTGGGAATCAAACCCACAACCCTTTGGTTCACGGGCTGGTGCTCAATCCACTGAGCCACACAGCCAGGGATGCTAATTCACTTTTTAACCTCTCAAAGCCTCCATTTCCTCCTGACCTATCCAGATATTTATCCAGTAGGGTTTGAGGGATGTCCTTTGAGGCTGGGCCAGGAGAGTGAGCCCCACCCAGAAGGGTCTGGTGGAAAAGGGGAAGCACACAGTCTCCCAACAGTAGCTCCCTAGGGTCCTGCTTCCAACTAAGTCAATATGTATACACATTTTCTAGCTACTTCAACTGGCAGTTTAGGAATGCAAATTAATTTTCCTGGAGCACAGGCATCCCGGAGTCTTCCGTCTTCCTCTTCTCCCCTTAGTGGGATGGGATCTCAGATTCCCTAGAGTTAGCTTGTGTCCCCAACCCCCTCCTTAGGAAGGTTGCCAACTACAGGAGATCATGCAGCTAATTTCCATGACCTCCTGGCAGTTTTCATTAATCTTTGAGTGACATCCTAATTAATGGCTCCAGGCAGTTGCCTACAGTTTAGGCTGCAATTTCCTAAAATTGCAAGCTTAGAGCTAAAGGGAATGTTAGACATCAGCTAGGCAACTCCCTCATGAGACAGACAGGAGAGAGAGGCTCAGAGAGGCTAGGCGATTTGCTCAAAGTCACACAGCAAGCTGGTGGCACATCCTGCCCGGTGAGCCAGACAAGCCCTCTTTTCAGGCCTGCACGTTGCCTCTTTCCTCCAGTGCAGATGAGGAGGCTGAAAAGAAACCAGGATTTTAGCAAGGATGGATGTGAGAGTCTCATTCCCAAATTACCCAGCTCTGAATGCAAGGGGCTAGAACAAAGAAGAATGGGAAGGATTTAGAGACATATGCACAGAAAGAGGGAAGTAGGGACAAAAACAAGAGATGGAGACCCCTCATTTGGAACATCAAAACACAAGCATAGCACAAAATAATTAGAAGAAAATTGATGCCACATCCAAAGCAGTTGACTTTTGTCCTTTTTGGAGGAGACAGACTAGAGCCCCTAGCAATCTCTGGATGATCTGTGAAGCCTGTATCAACGGCTTCTGGGTTCTTTAGACCCTAATGTGGGAGTCTGCAAACTAAGGACCATGGACCAAATCTGGCCCATGACTTTGTAAATAAAGTTTTATTGGGAATGTAACTGTGCTCATCTGTTTATTATTCTCTATGACTACTTTCCTGTTACAACAGCAGAGCTGACTCATTGCAAAAAGAGCATACGGCCCACAGGCCTAAAATATTTACTACTGGACGCTTTATAGAAAACTTTTGCCAATCCCTGTCCTGGCATTTTAATCAACTCTCTCAGCACATCCTTACGGACTGGAAAATGATGACTCTGTTGTGTTTCTCGGCTTGGGATTGTTTTTTCTGGGGCTGTGCCTACATCCCCTTTAATCCTTTCCGGTGCTGTTCGTGAGCTCTAACAACCAAAGAAGCAAAGACGTGAAGATTAAGACACAGGCCAAGAGAAAGACTTGAAGCAGATGAGTGCCTCCCTGATATGTTGTCACACCCCAGATCAGCTCAGTTCGTATTCCCCAAGTTCATACAACTGCTGCTTTTAAACTGAAAGTAGCTGCCCGTGCACCCCTGTGTGGAGAGGTCATTGCACATGTTCATATGCTGCTGGTGTTTCTGTGCCTCTGTGAGGCTGGAGTATCTCCATGCCCGTGAGCAAGGCTGACGTTAAAAATATATAACTAGCTCAGTGCAGGGACTGAGTAATCAAGGCAGATGCCAGCCTATATGTCAGACCAGGGCACGTGGGCTGCGCGAGAAGCCCAGCACGTTCCCGCCCACTTGCTGTGGCTGAGAAGGGCTCCAGGGTAGGGAGGGAAGGCTCATTCCTCCCTTCCCTGGGTGTGAGCAGCTGCCGGTTGCTGACTTCCTTGGGCTTGTGATTTGTCCCTGCGTGTGGGTCTGGGTATGTGCATGGACACAGAAGCTACTGGACTCGGATGGCTATAAACACTGTATTTGAAATAGACTGGGCATACAGAAGATGAGGCAACAGCCTTTCAAGCCCTACATGAGGTTGGTTACAAACTCCCCTTCACGCTGGCTTAGGGGAGGAGAGGTCCGTCCTACCATTTCCAACGGCTGGATTGACCTACATGCTAGGTGACGGGCATAACACCATCACTTTTATTAGCGAGCATCTGCCACGTGTCAGGCACCATGCTAGACCCTATATAGGTGACAGAATGTTAAGTGGGAGTCTTCCCATCTCAAAGTTTGGAGAGGGGCCCCAAAGGTCAGGAAAAGAAAGATAGGTAAAAAAAATTTAAAATAAATAAAAAAATAAAAAAAACAAAATAATAAAAAATTAAAAAAAAAACAAAAATAAAAAATAAAAATAATAAATAATTTAAAAATAATAAAAAAATAAAATAAAAGAAAGATAGGCATCAACTGTCCTCAGCTATTCCCACTACTAAATCAAGATACTACACTGTTACTATGGGTTGGTAAAAGGGACGGTCAACAACAGTCCGTTGCCCACCTCTAGACTATGTAAGATAGGTCTAAGAATTGAGGTTGAAAGCAGGCAATACTGAAGCTCTGTCTGAAGTCGTCTCATCTTCCTCCCTCAGCCAGAGGCAAGGTTTAGGTGTTGATTCTTTCTTATCATAACCCTTTTAGGAGGCGAGTTGCAGAAAAGAACTCCAGCAGCTTGACCTGAATTGATCAGAAGGCAGCGGACAGGGGAATTCAGCCTGAATATAATCAGAAGGCAAGTGGCGGTGGCTGGTTTGCAGGCCTGGGTAGTGAGTCTTGAGAACTATCTTGGGAGCAAGCTGTACCTGCAGAGCTTAACAGAACATGGAGGTTTTCATGTTTTCCAAGGGCTGGATGTGGACTGCCCAAGAGGGCTGCCTGGAAGGGTGATCCCAGAGAGGGAAAACCTGCCAGAAGCCATGGAGGCCAAGAGGGCATCATAAGGAGCCTGTGGAAGGAGATAGCACCCATCTCGAGGGGCCTGTAAGTAGGAGAGGCCCAGCAACAGGTCATCTTCCAAGTCATTGACCAATATATAGTCCTGTATCTCCCTCATGTCTCCCTCATGTTCACAGGCAGGAAAATCAGGGCAATTGAAATGGGGATGGCTCTGCTCGCTGTTCCTCCTAGTGACCCACTAAGGCAAGCTTTGCCTCCCAGACCCACAACCGGGGCTCTTGTGTTTCAGAAAATGATTTATCTGCCTAGGTTAATTCAATGTTAGCAAAATATGTTACTATAGATATCTTCCAATGACCGTTTTAGGTGAGGCGTTTGCTGAAAACAAAGGGAATGTGGAATGAATCATAGAGAAGGAAGTTAAAAATACCAGCTTTGGCCACATGACCAGTTATGGAAGTGAACACTGTCATATTTTGTCCTTATATTAATATGAATATATTAATTTACACATTAAATAATTATTTTCTTCCCTTTTCCCGCTCATGAAAGTGACCAGGAATATTAATTATCTGAAAGCAACCAGAAAAATATACAGAAGCTGTATATTTTTTACCCTGAGCCACAAAAATTTGTCCACATGTTGAGGTCAGAGGTAAAGAAAGGTGTGTTGAAGAATACAAGTGTTTCTTGAGTGAACCCCACCATGTTATTTTAATTCAGTAAGTTGGTTTCACATACGTTGAATTATTTCTTCTCCTCAAGCCCCAGAGAGGTAAGCCTTATTAGCAGCAGTTTGCGGATACAAATGCTCAGAAAGGGAGGAAAAGTCTGGGGACCTTTGGGAGCTGTCTCGTGGGCCCAGGACCCGGAGAGATCACACGATAAGAGAGAACTGAGGAGCAGACTTTTTAAATGTGAAATGTTTCATTTTCATAACAATTCCATGAGGTAGGTATTCTGATTTTACAGACAAGGAATCTAAGACTCAGA